AACTAATTCTTATAAGTAAAAACGATTACTATCTTTTTTTTTTCTTTTCTTTTGATCATCAGATAGTTTTATTCACACATATAAATTAAAAAATTGATTTGCTTTTAAAAAAGTCGCTTATCGGTATGTACAATAAAATCTGTCGGATACACATCACCGTCAAAAAAAGCATCAGCATAGTATAAACAGTGATCCACAGAAATTATGATATTTCATCCCCTCTCCTTTCCTACTCTGTTATTTTCAAACTTTTATCTACCAACAAAACCGAACTGATATTATTCATACATATTCTTAAAATCGTCGTAAATAAGTGTCATAGAAAAGAATTAAAGTTTCAGCTTTTTACTTGCAAAATACAAGCTTTATTAGAAAATTTTATAGCAGCAACCTCTCTCGTTATTTTTTCAGGGCTTTCTAGAATAAATTTTAATAAATTAACTGTCTTAATATCATTCTAATCTTAAGATTTTCTTTTTCTTCTCCTTCCTTCCTCCTTCCTTTAAGCTTCCAAGTAAATTTTCACTTTTAAGTCTTCCTCAGTTTCTTTTTTTTTTCGTTTTATTAAAGTCAGCTTTCGAATATAATCAGATGTACTGAGAGAAACTTCCCATATCAACTTTTGATGTGACATTTTTTTTTTATCTTGGAATAAAAATAGAACAACTTAAATTAATGAAGACAAAAACATATAAAATTTCCCATGACTAACGAGAGTGTTTATGTCTGAAAAGTATCAGACAATAAAACTGATGGCCAAACATCTTCACCCACTTCTTGGAATGACTGAATCTGAACAAACTTTCCCTCTTTTATCTCTTTTAAGAAATCAAAGCAATAAGAAAAATACATGAAGGCTTCAAAACAAAACCTCTAGAATCAGTTTAAAAGATAAGGAAAAGAAGCAAACGATCTTAGCAAAAAAATAAATAAATAAAATAAAAAAGCCATCAGCGGAATGTATTCACTGGATATTGCAAACTACGACCGGTAAATTAAAGAACATAACTTTGCGCTGAAGTTAAATGAAATTCAGGCGAATAGTTCATAAGTAAGCATTCCTTTAATATCATTTGCTAATTTTTGTTAAATAAATGTGCAAGTAACACATTAAAAAAAAAAATGCAGTTCAGTAAAAACGAATTGAGAATCAGTTTGTTGATTCCCTTTATGTTATTGTGGCTGCTTTTTCGAGCTTTTTTTTTT